TTGCCCCTTGCTTGCTGTCAAGCGTTCAACAGGTAGCCAGAGCTCCACTGCCAGGTCAGATTGAGTCTTTGGTGAGGGAATGGCCCTCAGGTGTCCATTCTTATCCCTCCCTGCTGCATCCTTCCAGAATGATTGGCTGAAGGCTAGAGAACAATCTTCCAAAGCAAGGTGTCCAATGGGTTCCCAATGTCACTGCATGGAAGATGCTGGAGCAACTGTGTTCATCCTCCAATGTGTCAAGGGCACGTTCCCCTTCTCTGTACATGGTCATGACAGGACCCTGGACTCCAGTGAGCCTGCTTGTTGTATTCCAATACATAAATCAGCCTTGTTTTCAAGAGCTGGTCCAGGATTTCCTTGCCTGCCTTTATCTTGTGTGGATGCTTTGTGCCTGACCTATCCTGAAAATCCCATCAGGCCTAGTTGATCATTTTGGTTTAGGGCCTAGCCAATCAGGCCCTAGGCTATCCAGCCACAGTTCCTCATTTTGATCCAAATGAGCATCGGAGAAATAGAGTCAAGTAACTCTGACCTTCCTCTCTCTCTGGGTGGCACCTGGGTCCCAGGCTGACAGCCTCAACTATCTAAAGCTATGAATTATATAGCAATTGAAAATACAAAAATAAATACTAACATAAATACAAAAATGAACAACCTGGTGTTGGTGAACAATACACCATCGGTAGATATATGATCAGGAAGTGCAGGTTAGCAAATAGTTGGCTCGTGTTTTACATACTTTTTATGCCTGTGAGCAGGCTCTCATTTGTTCTCACCTGCTAAACATTGCTTTGACATTCAGCTATTGAGAAAGTTCCTTTTATATTTGTTATTGGAGAGTCCCCACCAACCTCTGGTGGGTTCCATGCTAAGGTAACATACTTTGAGCTGCCAATTATCCTATTGTACACCGCCTGCTATTTGTTACACCCTAACATGACAATTTTGTGGGGTATACCCGTAGAATGCTGCCCCATCACTCACCTGTCTCTGGTGGAACGAACCACGTGTATCCTGGGTAACCAAGCACTTCCGAAGGGTGGATGGGTGGTTAGCAGGCATCGTTGTTATGACGCCTTTTGCATATGCATACATTCTAAGGGAGAAAGATCACGGTGTCATCTGTTACTGCCCTCATTCAAATATCCAATGCTTCCAGGTGTCCTCCGTTCCCTGATTCTCTTCCATTACCAATTGTTTTTGTTTTCACTTATGACTCTAGGCCTGAACTTAGCCCAAATTTTGAAGTACGAACACATTTAGAGTCACATGCTGGCTTTACAGAGTATTGTCAGGTTGTGAATGTAGACCACTTGGAAGAATAGAAATGTCGTGGAGGCTCAGATGCAGGGAATGTTTTTTTGCTTACCTCTGTCAGTTATGCTACTGTGAATGATATGCTGTGGTTGATATTAGCAGCCCCTTGCCTATGTTGGCAACTGGTGATTAGTGTGTTCATCACGATAGAAGGGGGTTCCATAGTTGTCTGGGGTTCAAGTTTTTGGGGAGAGGAAGTGGGGCTGGGCATACTGAGGGATTCCCTCTGCTGTTAGGGATTCCCATTCTTGATGTTTCTCAGCATACCAATGTGTTTCCTCCTGTATGTCCCAATTCACCTCATGGTTCGGCACCTCTCTTTTGCCCCTGTGGGCCTATAGGTGCTCATTACCCTTTCTTTGGACTTGAATCTATCAATCTCATGGCACTTCGAACTTTACTCCCTCGTTTTACTTGCTTAGTGCTGTGACTGCCGGCTGCAAATCACTACATTTCTTGCTACTTTGGTCACAACTTTTTGGGCCACAGCATGATCCCTGAACCCTCCCCTTGGTAAGCCTTCTCTTCCTGACCCTGAAACTACCCCATGTGCAGCAAATTCACCTGGTTCCTTTGTTAGATCTCTTGAATTTCGGCTTGCATTTGCTTGATTCTGTTCTTTACATTCTCTAGCTCCTCTTTAAGGTTTATATTTCCAACTTCTCTGCCTTATGCTTCACTGTAGCCTTACTTAATTTGGGAGTCTGTTCACCTCACTCTTTATGCGCCACTCCCAACAATTTTGCACTTCAGATCCCAAACCTGATAATTTTGCGCAGAATTCTGCCCAAATGGGCCACTTCCTATTCAAACATATCCTTAGGGTTTTCTCCACTCTGAGCAGTCTACCATTGTTCTGCTCTGTTCATGGACAATAGAATTTAATACAGATAAATGTGAGATAATGCACTTGGGCAGAACAAGCAAGGCAAGGAAATACATAATGAATGGTGTGCCTGTCGAGACATATGGGATACTTGCCTTTATTAGTCAAGGCATAGAGTTTAAGAGCAGGGAGGTTATGCTGAAACTGTATAAAACATTGATTGGGCCACAGCTAGAGTATAGTGTGCAGTTATGGAATCCACTGGAGAGGGTGCTGAGGAGATGTGCGAGGATGTTAACTGGGCTGGAGAGTCTTATTATGAAGAGAGGTTGGACAGATTGGGGTTGTATTCTTTTACGGCAGAAGAGAGTGCAAGGGAGATTTATAGAATTGAGGGACAAAGGGTAG